ATGGACAAATCAAGTCGAAGCAAGTGGCGAATACCGTTGATGACTCATACGCAGTGTGTTCGGTACCGGAGGTCAATCACACGCTGGGACTGCTGGGAGGCACTGAAACGTGCTCTTCGCGTCCATGGATACTCGATAGCGGATGCACGTCCCACTTATGTTGCGATAAGAATAGTTTCGACTCAATCCGGTCGTCGACTCAAGGGAAATTGAAATTAGCTAGCCAAGCATCGACCGATGTAAAGGGATACGGTGCGGTAAGATTGTCCGTAACTGGTAACACGTCTCCACGATTAATCGAATTTAATAATACGCTTTTTGTTCCCGATTTGAAGACAAATTTGATCTCGGTAGCGAAAATCACGGACAAAGGACACAAGGTCGTGTTCAAGGATGATTCCGCCGTGGTTACTGACCGTCAGGGTCAAGTCAAGCTTACCGCGGATCGAAAAGGCGATTTATATTACATACGCGAGGACGCAGAGTGTGCAATGGCTACGCCGGAGACAAGACTTTCGGAATTGAAGAAGTGGCATGAGCGTCTTGGCCACCTGAACATCAAGGACTTAATCAACGTCGTTGGAAAGGTCGTCGGGCCAGATGCTGTCGCTGGAAATCAAGAGGATGTATTGGAGTGTGAGATTTGCCACAGAGGGAAGATGACGACTTTACCCTTTCTCAGAGGCACTTCTCCGTGCACCGATCGAGCTACTGAAAATAGTCCACTCTGATGTCGTAGGCCCAACACGCGTCAACTCGAAGAATGGGGCGAGATTCTTTGCCACTTTCGTGGACAATTCGTCAAGATGGTGTGAGGTTTATTTCTTGAGCCAGAAGAGCGGCGTTTTTGAGGCCTTCAAGATGTACAAAGCTCATGTGGAGAAGCAGACGGGAAGAAGCATCAAGAATCTTCAATCCGACAACGGCAGGGAATACTGCAACCAAGATTTCGACGCCTTACTTGCAGATTGCGGAATTGAGAGAAGGTTAACCGTCCCGCGCACACCTCAACAAAATGAAGTCGCGGAACGGATGAACCGCACTCTTCTCGACATGGCGAGGTGTCTCTTGCTGCAGTCTGGCCTGCCACCTACATTTTGGGCCGAAGCAGTGGCGACGGCGTGTTATATACGTAACTGTTGTCCAACTAGTACTTTGGAAAACACAACGCCATGCGAGATATGGACAGGAGAGCCACCCAGACTGAATCACATGAAAATTTTTGGATCTACTGTCCACGTCCTGAATAAGGACACGAATAAGGATAAATTCGAGGCAAGGTCAAATAAAGGTATTTTTATAGGCTATTCTCGGGAGTCAAAGGGTTATCGAGTTTGGTTGCCCGATTCTAGGAAGATTGTTGTTGCCAGAGACGTTAAATTCCTGGAGAAAACACTTGAAGCTTCCAAAGATTCAAACGAATTTGACTTCCTGCAGGAGCCGGATCAAGGGCGTATCGTGGGGTCGGACGATGACGATACTCCAACTATGGATGTCGAGTTTACGACTGCCAATCCCGCTACTCCCACGATGATGAGAGTTAGACAACAACCTGGGGATGTGAGAAATGCACCCCGAGGACAAGGCAGACCGAGAATTCTTCGCACCGGAAGTCGTGGTCGACCGAGGAAGCTGTACCAGTCTTTCCATGGTACTGGGACAAACGAGTTGGAGATCCCGGGATACTTAACGATGAACTTGAGGATGACGTTTTCGCTGCAGCAGCTAAAGTCTCCGTCCCAGAGGCCATGGATTCGAAGGAGAAGGACGAATGGGATCAGGCTATCCTGGCTGAAGTCAAAAGTCTCCTAAAAAACGATACGCTAGAGATCGTTACAAAAAAGAAAGGACAAAACATTGTCGGTAGTCGGTTGGTTTTAACCAACAAGTACGGGCCGAACGGCTCTATTCAACGTCGCAAGGCGCGCATTGTTGCCAAGGGATACAGCCAAAAGTACGGTGTAGATTACTACCAAACCTTTGCACCGGTAGCGCGCCTCGAGACTATACGACTACTGATAGCTATTGCCGTGCAATATGGACTCAAGGTCCATCAAATCAACGTGGTGACGGCGTACATAAACGCCCAACTAGACAAGGAGGTCATCATGGAGATCCCAGAGGGATTTGAGGAAGCGCTCGAGAAGATAGCTTCAACCGAAAAGAAAGATTCGGTCATTGGACTCAGAGCAAACGAAATGCTTAAGTCTCTGCGTGCTGGAGGAAACGCCTGTAAGCTAAATAAAGCGCTCTACGGGCTACGCCAATCAGGGCGCCAGTGGTACTCAACGTTGGGCGCAAAACTGAAAAGCCTTAAGCTCAGCCCGACGAAGGGAGATCCGTGCCTGTACGTGGCACATCATGGTGCCGAAATCCTCCTGTTACTCATATATGTAGATGATATTCTAATCGCATCGCGGGACTTAAAGTGGATAGCAGAGATTAAGCGCGGTCTGAAGGAAGATTTCGACATCAAAGACCTCGGCTTGGCAGAATTCTGCTTGGGACTCGAGATAAATCAACACGAAGATACGATAACGCTCACCCAGAGCGGATATATTTTGGATATATTTCGTCGATTCGGAATGAAAAACTGCAATCCCGTCGCCACGCCAGCGGAGTTTAGTGTCAGACAGATGCAGACGGTGGAATCGACGAATATAGAAGACTGGCCTTATCGCGAGCTTATTGGCGCATTGTTATATCTGGCCGTCGCAACGCGTCCGGATATTGTCAATGCGGTGTCGAGACTTGTTCAGTTCACGACTGCACCCGAGAAGAGTCACTGGATGGCGGCAAAGCGGGTCCTACGCTACCTGGTGGGTACAGTTCGGATGGGTTTGGTGTACACACCAACAGATCTACCCCTTTTTGGATATTCCGATGCAGACTGGGGAGGCGACCTTGTGGGCCAAAAATCTTACAGCGGTTACGCTTTTCTTATGAGCGGGGCCGCAGTAACATGGAAATCACAAAAGCAACGTTCTGTTGCATTGTCTTCCACAGAGGCTGAGTATGTGAGCTTATCAGAGGCAGCTAAGGAAGCACTGCATCTTCAAAGCCTTCTTATGGAAATGAAGTTGGACGAATTGGGTGAGCTAACGATCTGTATCGACAATCGCGGAGCTCAGTACTTGGCAAATGATCCGGTATCGCATACACGTCTGAAACATATTGACATACGATACCACTTCACCCGGGACGCTGTTCAAGGCGGCGTTGTAAAGCTGCATCATGTGCCAACCGATCAGATGGTCGCCGACGTACTCACCAAGGCCCTACCGCGCGTCACGAGAGATGTACCAGGGATTTGGGACTTGAGATGATAGAAGATAATCCGTCGACATAGCATGCACATTGAGGAGGCGTGTTAAGGATACTAAAACTTAATATTCAATGCGAACGCTTGATCGCCGGTATAATGTAACGGAATCTTCCTCATCTACTATGTACTATATACATATATTTTCTCGTTTCCTTTTCTCTCCGCTTCTACAATCACACACGTTCGTTAAGCTCGTAACTACTCGGTTCACCTGTTCACGTGTTCGTGCAATATCCGATTCATAAAGAAACATCTCGTTGTATTTTCATATATCAAGTAAATAAATATAATTATTGTAATAGATACTGTGTCAACTCCCACATTCCAACATTTCTGAATTGTAATATGATGATTTCTAAGGGAGTTATGAGCAATCAAAGTCAAAATGCTCATTTCTTATTCAATCCGCGATAAATTAGTAACAAAAAATCGTAGAAACATTTAAAAAAAAAGATTTTGCAAAGAAAACTTTAAGCTTTCACGTTAGAAAGTCGAAAATTTTCGCAGATTTTTTTTGTGCACGTGACAGGCCCACAAAGTAAGAGAAAAATTTTCTATTTTGTTCAGCTCGTAGTTTTCTATATCTAAAAATTACCAAACTCACAGAAACTAAAAAATAATAATGAACTTTCGAAAGTAGAAATTTCAAGCTTTAAAATCCTTTTTTTAAATTTAAATTTTGTTCATTTTTAACAAAGTTACAGCTGCTTGAATTTTGCCTATTTTTAAAGATAAATTTAGTGTTCTTTTAATTTTTGTGAGAAGTGTAGATTACTTAAAGAATTGGTAATTTGTCAGAGAAAAATATCAAGTTTGTGAAAGTTAGTATTTAGGTGAAAATGAATTAATTTCTTTTGTAAACTAGTAATTAGTAGAAATAAATTCTTTATTATTAAAATAATTAATAGATAGTTTATAAAAAATAAATTACTGTAATAATAAATACTGTAAATAAATACTGTAATAAATACTGTAATAATAATACTGTAAATAAATTGTATTTATTTGAAAATTAATAATTAGTGAAAAATAATTATTAATTTTTTCAATAATAAAGAAATAGTCGCAGATAAATTACTTATAATTAAAAAATTATTAATCTGTTGAATATAAATAATTTAATTACTGCAGTTAAATGTGGTTTAAAAAATGTAATTATGAAGAAGAGGGGCTTCCTCACTGATTTGGCAAAAATTTTAATTTTGTGTATTTTGGTGCGTAAAACATGAATCTATAAGTTAAAATTGTCGCTCTCAATTAGGAAAAAAGTTATTAAGTACTAAAATTGATAATTGCGTGGTTAGAATGTCTGTCATACCGATATGATGTAGACGCACATGATAATGCGTAGTGACGTAAAAGTATATGAAATTACAATAATAATACAGTATAATGGCAACCTGTCCTATAATAGTCTGGCGCCTTACTTTAATTATGTGCTATTATTTGATTTTGTATTTATTATACTTTGTATTTATAATCTTAGAACTTGATCCGTTCACTCGTTATCGAGATCTCAACATCTCGAATACTCGCAACTCGTCGCGTTGCGTAAAAGAGTCACGGTCGGTCTCGCTCCGCGTGTACTTGGCGCAAGACACTGCCGTGTCTCTTGATATAAAGATCTTTCGGAGATCCTAATTTATCACATTTTCACGTGTCCTTTTCTGTATAGAAAAGATACTAATTATTTTCAGGTTTTCGATGGTTTGATGCAAACTTATGAAGAATCCGAGGATTATAATCCAGCTGAATGGGAAGACCACAGTGTATTTTATATGGTGCACCTTTTGTATCAGTGGGGCATTCACGCATGTAACACTGTGATAAAAAATAAAGCAGCAAAAGAACTTTTGAAAATGACTAAAACTGTCAAGTTTGATGTTATAGTGCAGGACATTACTTTAACTCAATGTTTCTACGGATTATGGGAGGTAAAGCAATCAACTTTAGTAAATAACTTTAATTGTTTATGCTATTTTTAAACTGCAAGTGATGAACCAAAGTTGCCTTATAAATTAAATGTGTTTGCGTATCAAATTAAAAGTGCCTAATCATCTTTCATATCAGCGATCACTATTGAAATCAGTGCCAAATCTAAGCATGGGTCTTAAACCTAGGGCTCCGCTTTTACAAGGACTCCAACTAATTTTGGTAAAAATACACATTAACGAAGCCATCTCCGGTAACTTTGACCTTGACATATATTATAGAGATCACTTTCTTGAGTGACCTTCAAAAGGTCTCAGCCGTCGCTCGTTTGCTTATTTAAAAATTATGAACAAAAAGTTTGAAAAATTTACAATTTTGTGTCAGTGCTAAGGGAAGTAATTTGTTGATATGTGCGTATAAACATATGTAGGTGGGGATGGACCTCGGTTCGTGTGGAAAATTGAAAATCCGAACCGTACAATGATAAACCTCGTTTTGCTCTGTAAGTCCCTACTTATAGTGTAGGGTGGGGTGGGGTAGAGTGGATCTCGCTTTTCGTGGAAAGTACAATGCTGTCCACAGGTACACAGTGTATAGACGGTACACATATAAGCGGGTGTGGACCTTAATTTTTTATTGAAAAAAAAAAAGAGTAAATTTCATTTCTTCTGTTTCTGTAATTGCTGTATAAAACGTAATATTATCATGTAATGGATACATTTCTGCCATTATCCAAAAAAAGTTTATACGAGTATATGCTGTAATAATATGTTATTTTTTCGGTGCTAAGAGAAGTAATTTGCTGATATGTGTGTACAGATAGTACATATGTAGGTGGGGGAGGGGCTACTGCAGGTGGGGGTAGACCTCGGTTTGCGTCGAAAGTTGAAACGTACGAACCGTACATTGCAATGATAGATCTCGTTTTGCCCTATACAAATGGCTATATAAATAGTTAATGTATTAAAAAATTGTTTAATTTAGTAGTCAAGATATTGGTTTGAGCTATCTTTCATTGAACTTGTAAGTTATAATTAAAATTTAATTGAAATGTCCCCATATAAGCGAGTATTAAAATTATAACTTTGTACCAGTTTTATGTAATTGTAGTTTTTTCCCGTATTTTCAGGATAAAAAAATTTTTTAATTATTTTTAAATTAATATATTTTACGTTGAAAAGTTTTCAATTTGTTGTTGTTGTGTTTTTTTTAGTACTCAAAAATATATAAGGGCCCTTATACGTACGGAGGCCCGAGGCCCCTCCTCTTCACAAGTTAATTCAACCCTGATTAAAATGCGATTTTATTATACTTCTCCAATACACAAAATGCGAAAAAATATGTTAAAAATTTTGTGGCTCTCTTTATACAAATATATAAGGTAACCCAGGAAATTACTGAAACTGGGTAACATAAAAGTAGAGAGACCGAAATGAGTTATACTATGGAAGAAGTCAATTATTTTTATTATCAGCATATAGAACAAAAAAGTATACATAGACTTACAAAAATAGATATTATATAAAAGATTCAAAAATTTTGCTGGTTGCAGTATTTCAAAATATATATATTTGTGCTCGAAGATTCTTACTTGCAAACTCGGCACATTTGCACTGTTATAAATAATTTATAAAAAATTATTTAAAAAATAATCACATAATTTTTAGTGCCAGAACTCTTTGGAAAATGTTAGAATACGTTCAAAACTACAAGATAATTATAGTAAGACTCACAGAACTGTCGAAAATCGGCCAGCGCCTCACCTAGAAACCCGTAAATGCGGCTTTCTTGAAAATTTCTTATATGTTAAACATGGTTTTTATTTTTAAAATAATTGCATTATTGGAAAGTAATTAAAATTTTTTGCAAAACTATGTGGAAAAGTCTAAAAAATACGATCCGGTCGGAACTGTTATCTTTCTTAGACAGGTGTTACAGTTTGGGCACTGAATTTTCAGAAATCGATTTTTTGCTTTTAATTGCTAGAACTATTGATATATTTGATATGGAACTGTAGAACTATTGTAAAACAAACTAGAACTCCAAAGAAATAATTGATTTTCATGATTTGGTGCGCTGCGTGAACTTAGCGCACCATATTTTCAAATTCGATTTTTTTGTATTTAATCATCGGAACTATTTAAAATGTTTACATAGAACTCTAGAACTATTCAAAAGAAAGTCAGAACTCTAAAAAAACTTTAAGATTTTTAGGTATGGTGTGCCAAGTTCACAGGACCCTATTTTTTTCAAAATAGTACTTAAATTATTTTATTTTTAATAAAATAATGAGTTTGGACTCTCGTAATTAAAAATTGATAAAATGATGGTTATGAGAGTCAAACGCAGTTATCGGTGCGTAAATGATCAGATTCACTGATTTATTTTCGGTATATTATACATTCGTATGTTTCGGCTCGGGATTGAGCCATCTTCAGCGAAATATATGTAAAAAAATAAATTAGTTACTTCCATTCTCCATTCTTGTTAGGTGATCATTTACGCACCGATAACTGCTTCTGACTCTCATAGCCATTCTTTTATCAATTTTTTATTTTATTTTGTTTATTTATTACAAAGTAATAGCTATTTAATTATTAGCTCTTTCCATTGTATGTAAATATTATTATTATTTGCTAAAGGTTGCTAAAGGTAAGCCACCCATAGTAGGCTATGTTCCATTTGGTCCTGCACCTTGGCTGAAGGATTACGTCGGTGGTCCAAGTTACCCGACTGTTCGACCCTTCCCTGCATCCATTGCGAAACCTGAAAGTTTGTGGCTGAGAACATGGAATGCTTTATATTACATTGAGGATGATCTCATACGACATTACTATTTCTTGCCTATTATTCAACGACTTACTGAGAAATATGTAGGCCATACAATCAGGCCATTACATGAAATAGAAAAAGAAAGAATTAATATAGTACTAATTAATAGTCATCCTGCGTTCGAGCCTGCGATCCCATTGCCACCGAACACCTTAGAGATCGCAGGACTGAATGCCCAGGCCGTGCTACCAATTGCCGGTGAGGTAGTCGTAACGTATTCTGAGGTAAGAGAAATAATTATACTTCTTATTTTAGAAACACAATTTAACAAAAATTGCAATAAGAATATTAGCAAAGAAGTTGTGTATACTAAAGTGTAATTTGAATGAAACTCTGATCAAATTATTATTTTATCTGTATTCGATGATTCTCGAACTAGGATTTATCATTCCTTTTTGTTTTGCATGGATATTTTCACTCTATTCAGAATAATGTAACAAATATTTACTATTCTAAATAGCAAAACTTCGTTAGATCGAGGAATAAATTGTTAGATCAAGGAAAATCTGTAATTTTGCTTTTATTAAATATAATATTAATATAATAATTTCTTGTATATTTTCAAATTTATTAAAGTTTTTGCATATACGTTTATTTCTCATACAATATGCATATACATATGACTAACCCAGACTGCATGCGTGTGTGAAGGACACACTAAAGACGTTTTTTAGACGTAAGTGCTGGTATAGGAATTAATGTATAAAAAATATATTCAAAATATGCTATATTTTCAACATCTTTATATTTGAATAAAGATCGATCACATATGTGATATAATGTAATTTATTTTTATAAATTAATTAATAATCAATTTCTATAAGAATTAGTTGAAACAGAGTATAAATATTATATTCTATTTATAACAATGTCTAATACTAAGAAAAATGTCGTATGAATCTTATTTGAATACAATAGGTAACTTTGGTATTTACGCCGCGCGGGGATTTATGCCGTAGAAGTCAGAAAAAATAGAAGGTATAAAGATACTTGCTCGCAATCACACTGTTATGTGCCTTTATGCCATATTAGCATTGTATTGTAATTTCAGTTCTTTACTGTTAATATTAACGAACCGTCGTGAGTTAAATCGATTTCTCACCGTAGTAAGTAGCGCGATCATATATTACGACTACGTAAAATGATTACTGTAGGGAATGTAAAAGGTTTAATGGTTATTTTATGATACATGTGTAGAGGGATAGTAAAGGATGGAATACAGCAAAATACAAGTGCATAGCTCTTGAGTTTTTTTTTTAGCTTCATGTCTTGTATCTTGTATATACCTCCTGTTTAGGATATACGGCATTTTTAGCATGCGGGATTTATGTCATAGTACAGACACCTTGTAAAACTCGAAATCTCTTATGTGTTCTTTTCCCTTCTTTTTTTGGATCGTATAATCATAATCTTTAATGCATCTATCGCTCTTCTATTTTCTTTTTAAAATTTTTCAGTTTTATAATTTGTTTATTATTCTTACATCTTAAATAAACTTTTTATACACATTTTGTAACTTATTATGACATTTTATTGCCTTATTTATAAACATTAATTGTAATTTTTTATAAGGCGTATATTTTATTCATGAATGTTATATATTCCACCCCTCTGGGAAAAATGCAAGGGTTTCTAAAAGTTTTTTTTTTATTAAAACCGAATAAGTAACATTTACTTCGCCAGTCAATAATTAACACAATTAAGAATTTAATTGACTATAATCTGGCAATGATTGTAATCGTGGTAACGATTATAATCGTCGTGACAAATCGTCAACGAGTTTCGACCAAGGGTTCTAGTCATTCTAAAGTTGATGTAAGGTGCTTATAATATAAGCATTTTAATTAAATAATTAATTTTAATAATTAATAATTAAATAATTAAATAATTAAATAATTTAAAAATTAAATTTTTTTATTAAATACAATGAATGAATATTTCATATTTATATTTTTTTTATAGTAGTAGACAGTATAAAGTTTCTATTGGTATAATTCATTTGCCTTAAACATAGTAAATAGTACTCGATAAATTAAGTTTCCCTTAGCTGCGGCGTATATACCCGCGGAGTTACCCTACAATTTACTGCTTATTATTACGTATAATCTGCTTAAGAACATATCGGTTATATATACGATTATTCTTGTTCTTATATAGTGACTTATCTCCATGACTATTTCGGGTAAAATTTTCAAAGACACAGACGTGTGGTTTTGTGACATAAATTAGCAGGTATCGTCTTTCATAATTTATTAAATTAGTATTAAAATTGTATCTCTTCGACCAAATTAATTTTGTTTTGTATTGATTGTCAGTTACATGCTTGAAAAGGGCCCGATCCAAGGGTCGAAACGTCGCAGCGTTTTGTAATCATTGCCAATCATTAGTCGACAACAATAAACGTTTCGAGTTTAATACATATTGGCGGAATAAACAGTTATTTCTTTATATACGATTATGTTTCGAGATTAAGATACATGTATCTTTGTACAATATCAAAATGTTTAGTTTACAATTATTTTGCAGGATGTTCGCATATTTCTTGACGGAGCAAAGAATGGAGCTATCGTAATATCATTAGGAACAAATGTGAAATGGAAAGATGTCGGCCTACACAAGATTAAAACCGTTATACTGGCTCTGTCGAAACTGAAGCAACGAGTGCTGTGGAAGCTAGATATTGAAGTGCCATTTGAGATACCGGACAATGTAATGGTTGTGAAATGGATGCCGCAAAGCGAAGTTTTATGTACGTTTTCCAGTTTCTATGTAGGAGAAACATGAGACCCAATATATATTTTCTCGTAACATTTGTTTATAATTAGTCATTGCCTTTCGTACATTCTCTTATCAACGTAAAAAATTCTTGTAATTAAGTTTAAGCTTTCTCTACTAACAATTAAAATATCTATAACATTCAAGTTTTAGATATTATTGTAATACCGCATTTTCTTAAAAATAGCATTGAGTAAAATGAAATTTATAATTGTGAGTACTTACTTTTACGTAATACAGATTTGATTACTTTGATCACCAGTGTTTTAGTAAAATATTGCGGTAGACATACATAAAAACATCGCATATATAAATATTTTATGGATAAAGAGTACTTGACTAATTACAGTGACACTCCGCTTTAAAAATAAATAGGGTATATTATATAAAATAATTAGTTTTTGTTTTATTAAATTCATCTGATTATCTCGCTGTAATGTCTGAATGATTTTTTTTCTTTTTAATTGTTTTCTCAATCCTAAGGCAATTTTAGTTTTCAATTATTACAATTATAATCTTTATAATAAGACAGCAGTTTATTATTAAAATAAGAAACTTGCCTTTTGTTTAAAAATGATGTATAGGCGACAGAACTGTTGACTGAAAATGTTCATCACATTAGTTTCATAGAGACATGTACAGCTAATGAAATGTTTGTATCAATGTGAGATTTTCATCATAATAGTTGAGATTTATCATTTATTCTAACATATTTGTTATATTTATTATAATATATTTATTATA